AATAATAATAATAATAATAATAATAATAATAATAATAATAATATAATATAGTAGATATTTGTCACCTATAGTTTTTATTTCTAAATGTTATATTGATATATAAACTCACTTGAGACCGCAATCACTCTTGCCTGATAGCATATCCAACCACCAGTTGTTCTTTAAGTTGATCGTGCCATTCAATTACGTATATTTTTTCAGGATCCTCTTCTTCACTGGTAAATTCTTCATAATTAAAATTTTTAATATGTTGAGTATCTATCCCAACAGTATATGTTTTGTCGTCGACACCTCCAACCCACTTTACCAGGGCCCAATGTTTTTTCTTACAACTGAACATCGTAAAAAATATTAAAAATTTAATATTATTTCGCTAATCTTAGTATTGTAATAAACTATTATTTAAGCAATGTCATAATTATTATTAAATGAATTAAATAATTAATTTTTAGATAAATTTTTATCGATGATCAACAGACACAGAGCTAAGCTCTTTTATATGTATATATAATTTTAATTTGGCTTACCCATCCATCACTGATTTTTTGGTTGAAAATATTTTATTTTTATTTAGACTATTCGTTGCTAAAATAATGAAATAAAAATCAAATGCAATAAAAAAAATCAATAAAATATAAAAACGACGGTGCGCAATTCTTAGATTTTACAAAACAATGGCGGTTGCTGTGTCTACAGAGCGACCACAGTAATGAATGTTTTGGCGGTAAACGGAATGATTTTCAGAATTAATTTTTTAATCTTTGCGATTTTTGGAAACTTTTTGTTATAATTAAATCAATTTAATTATTTAATTATTCAATATATATTTTTATATAAAAAAACTTTCATTAAAACAATTGTTGTTACTACTAGCAAATATTTCAACTATCCTCAATAATGAATTGGCCATATTTACTTGTAGAGGGAGTTACAGTAAGTATCCGCTTATTTAATTTGAAATAATTATACTTTTAATTGTTTTTTCATTTTATTTATTGGAAATTAAAAATATTAAAAAATAAACGTTATATTTTATTTAATTTTATTATTAATATAATTATTAATAGCATGGAGATGATGAATAAATTTTTATTTAAGTTAACAGCTCGAATCTATTGGGATGTTTACAAGCAATTGTAATGTTATTATTAGGTATTGTTATGATAGTAACGGTTTCCTTAATCATTTGAACATTAACAGCCGCTAAATAATTATACATTTTAATAAAATAGATATGTTCTAACTTTACACCAGTTATTAGAGTTTTTTTTTTCTTTTATAAAATATTTTCCTATTGCAAAACATGTAAGCTTATTTTGAATGTCAACCAGCAAAAAAGTTTGCACTTCAAATATTTCATCATTTTTCAAGAGTACTGTGTAGCTATTACGTTTTTTTACTTTAGTGTATTCTTTAGCATGAATTATTTTCCTATCAATTCGTATTCTTTGATAAAACTGTATTGTACTATCCTTATCGACATCTACATTTATCCGTTGTAGCGTTAAAAAGTATTCTGTCGATAATTTTTCGACAGATGTTGACTGTCCTATAAGACCTACATCTTCTACAACTAATGATGCTACTGGAAGGATTTTTTTATTGGTTAATTCACAAAGTAATTTCCTTTGGCGAAAAGTTAAACTTTCATCACAGAGATCTAGTAATTTGTAGAAAGCCATTTGAGATCGAAACGATTTCAATATTTGTTGGTCAGCTTGATTTGAGCTTTTAACAAGTTTTTTTAAAAATTGGTGAAAGTTCTCGAAACAGAACGCACTATGTGTCCATAGTGGTCCCCAATCGAGAACACTTTCAGGTAAGTGCGTTAATAAATGCAGATTGAATGATATGTGTTCTTTTCCGTATAGTTCCTCAGTTTCTTTCACGAATTGAAATAAATTTCTTTGAGCACAGTAGACATCAACTTCTGTAATAGATGTTTTTAACAATATTGAAATTCCTTCAACTAATAAACTCCAGTGTGTGACAAACTTGTTCGGTAAACATAATTTCAAGATAGGTAAGCTATACATTAGTAGCCATATAACTAGTTCATGCGCTTTTAGATGTAACCTATCCTTTGACATCGTTCTTGGAGTCCTTGAAACATCCATTGATGGTTTGAAAGACAGTAGTAGTTTGTCAGTTGCGGAAATATGATTGCCAAGATAAAATTCTCTTTCATGGTAACTGGAATCAATCCAAAGCTTCAAAAATTGTCTACAGACTCCTAGCGCGACGCAATGCATCCAATCAGGTGTTAAATTCTTAATAATGTCAAATTTTGGTATGTCACACAATACAGAACGATGTTTTATGCCTTTTTCAACGTTATTAGCATGAATTAATGTCTCTGTGTGAGATCGCAATCCTTCTCCGTGAGCATTACCATCGTCATCTATTGGGAATATTCGAACATAGCCGCGACCTTTCGCAATTTCTTCTCCTTTATGCTTACAGAAGCCACAACCATATTCCCCACGAAATGACTTTGATCCTCTTAATTTTGGTCGCTCAACAGAATCACAAATTCCAATTAAAATTTGACATTTTTTGTGGTACTCAACGTTATTATATTTCTACTGAAACCCAGTATTAATTAATATCTTTGTTTCTTCAACGAACGGTTTCAAGTATTCATCCATATCAGGTATGTCAGTACCTAAATATAAACTTGTTAAAATAATATGGTTCTTGCGTATTTTTGGATTAATTTCATTAACTGTACATAGTACAGGAGTTATGGAAGTCTGCGAAGCTTTAAATAACGGAGTTCCATCAACGCTAAAATTCAACGTAATTATATCGTCTGGTAAGTCATCGAAATTATTTTTTCGATATAAATGTCCATCAAAAATATCTTTAATTGCGTATGAACATTGCTTTGTCCGATTTTTTGCGTACATGAGATTTTCATGATTATGTTCACAAAATTTTTGCAATTGCTGCGTCAGAGATAAATGTAAATATTGTTAATATCAATATTGCATTTGTCACAGTGCAATGCTGGATGTTTAGTTTCATCATCCAACTCCAACAAATCAGCATCCGATGAATATAATTCTGAACCGATATGTTTCTTGCAATTCGAACATAAATGATGAATTTCTATCGGCACGGTATACTAATTAATTATGTTATTAAAATGATACGTAGAGTTATAACATAATGGTTCATCGGCGATAGCATCAATTGACTTGGAAATGTATGTAACGGTTTCATTATCAATATTTTTCCTCAATTTAACAGCTCAAAGCAATAAAGATCGTACTAACACCGATTTTGGATAATGAATCTCGTTTTTATCTAAATCAGGAACATGAATCGGATGATCATTATTATCTTGGTCCTGAAAGTTACGTGGATTCTCATCTGTCCCTTCTATACCGTTGTTGTTGACGCGTACTTCTTCGCTATTGCTAGCATGATTGTCATCATCAATTGCATTTAAATCTTCTGATTGTGTATCACTGCTATCGCAATAATTATAAGGATCTTCTTCATCAAGATCATCCTGTAAAAGAAATTGAAAATGTCAAATTTTGATGCATTGAATCAGATTGGAATACAAAATATTCAGATCATTGGAATTATTACATTTTCATCTTCCGAGTTGTGAATGTCAGCGGTTACGTTAGGTAGTGCCGAATCAACTGGTGGACTCCTAGTCGACAGTTGATCATTTTCTGGTGTATTATCGTTATGACAGTTGTCTGAAAGAAACGTTGATTCTGGGTTATTCTCAGTTTCATCTTCATAACTTTCAAGTACGACTCGACCAACCTCTTGCTGTAAGAAATTTATAAAATTAAAAGAAAGTTATGAAATAAAATTTTTATAAAAAAACGTTATCAAAGCAAAGATATCGAAGTCAATTGAAGCAAAACAAATAATAATAAACACAATTAGATAGATATTTTTATTGAAAAACAAGTAAAACGTTTGAAAAATGCTCACTTCGTTTTGAGGATTACAATTCTGTTTTTCAAGTTCTAAAGATTTCAGCTTAGCTTTTCGATAGTTTTTGGTCCTTTTCGGAATTGGGACTACACTTCGCGGCTCTAAATATCTTTTATAAGGACCACGTTTCTGACGATTGTTCATGACGAAATTTCAAAGAAAAGCATTTATCAATTTCCACAACAATACACTATTATAGAAGTAAGGTGAATGAAATCAAACATATGATACATATATGGAATAAGTAGAAATCGTAAAACTACAGTAGCGCTGTCAACATAGACATATGATTTGAATTGACAACAAAGACTGAAAATTTTCATTTAATAATAATTCATTTTATTTATATAAAGATATATCTATATTTTAAATTAGAAAAGACAAAATTAAAACCAAGTAAACTTTGTATATATTTACCATTAATAAATATTAATTTTATCATTGGTACCTACAAATAACATTACAATTGCTTGTAATCATCCCAATAGATTCGAGCTGTTAACTTAAATAAAAATTTATTCATCATCTCCATGCTATTAATAATTATATTAATAATAAAATTAAATAAAATATAACGTTCATTTTTTAATATTTTTAATTTCCAATAAATAAAATGAAAAAACAATTAAAAGTATAATTATTTCAAATTAAATAAGCGGATACTTACTGTAACACCCTCTACAAGTAAATATGGCCAACTCATTATTGAGGATAGTTGAAATATTTGCTAGTAGTAACAACAATTGTTTTAATGAAAGTTTTTTTATATTATAATGGGCTTTCGCCGGCACTGGCGTCGACAGGGCCGGGGAGCACCACCTAAATTGGCTTACCTGGGTCTCGAAGGTAGTTGGGCGCCAGGAACGTACAGTTCCAAGATCCAAGTCGTCGCTGATCGTCGTCAGGCGGCGGGTCGATTACGAAGAGATTCAAAGATTCGAATAAGTGGCGAAAAA